GGGTGCTACAATAAACATGGATACACAGGACTCTCCTGTGTGCTCTGGCTTCATCTCTTTGGTATGCACATATGTAGCTGGATCATAGGGCACTTCTATTTTAAGTGTTTTATTTTTTATTTTATTTTATGTGTACGAGTGTATTGCCTGCATGTATGTGAGTGCACCCGTGTCATGCAATGCTGCAGAGGTCAGAAGAGGGCTTTGGATTCCCCTGGAACTGGAGTCAAGGATGGTTTGTAGCCAATATGTGGTTGCTGGGAATCAAACCCAGGTCCTCTGCAAGAGAAGTCAGTGCTCTTAACCGCTGAGTCAACTCTCCAGCCCCTGGTCTAGAACTTTTTATCTATAGTCAATGTAAACCATTTATGCTTTCTTTTTTATTTATTTTTGTTTTATGTGTATGAGTGTTTTACCTGAATGTATGTAAGTGCACCCCTGTCATGCAGTGTCTGCAAAGGCCAGAAGAGGACATAGGATCCCCTGGAACTGGAGTTACAAGTGGTTGTTAGCCACCATGTTGAGTGCTGAAAAATCAAACCTGTGTCCTCTGCAAGTGCAGTCAGTGCTCTTAACTGCTGAGCTATCTTTCCAGCCCCTATTTATGCTTCTTTTCCCCACATTTTCATGATAAAATACTCTGGCTTTGTGGATTAGGGGGCCATTTTCCCAGCTGGGTGGTGGAAACTAGTTCCAACATTATTTTCCTGGCCGGTATCTTCATGATGGCTCAATAAACCATCTTACTTCAGGGAAGTCTCTGTCTCAAGAATTATGAAAAGGCAGGACAATCCAAGTTGGGCAACTGCAGCCTGGGCCCAGAGCACTGGGATGTGGGGTAGGCAGGTGGGCAGAGTTGCCTTGTCCCTGCCAGAGAAGGAGGAATGTCACCCAAGGCTGAGCTGGGCGGGACCAGGGAGAGATGAGATGACTCTCTACCCAGATGTCATCATGAGTGGTGATGGGTGGGGAGGTAGCGAGGGAGGCTAGGATGGGAGGGGTCACCTTCCCATTATCTGTGGAGGAAAACTGAGGCTCAGAGAGGTCTTGAGGACCTTTGCTATTTAGGAACTTGGCAGGGAAGTCCAAGTCTAGGCTCTGAGCCTGGGGGACTGTGGGAATGGCAGTACAAAATGGACACCATGGATACTGTCCCCCCCATCCCATCCCAGGGTAAGGATTCATTTGCCCTTGCAGTTGTTTGTGTGTGCCCTCCTGCCCCAGCTCCTATCTTCTGGGTGATCTCTGGATACCACTCTAGCTTCTGCCCCACAGATTGAATACCCTTAGATACACTTCTCTACTCTGAGCTGCTTTTATTCTATGTATATGAGTATTTTGCCTACATATAAGTGTCCACATGCATGCAGTGGCTGCAGAGGCCAGAAGAGGGTGTTGGATCTTCTGAGACTGGAGTTACAGATGGTTGTGAGCTGCCATGTGGGTGCTGGGAACTGAACCCAGGTCCTCTGCAAGAGCAGCCAGTGCTCTTAACCACTGAGCCATCTCTCCAGTCCCTGTTAGTTTGAGACAGGGTCTCACTATGTAACTCTGGCTGGCCTGGGACTCACAATGCTCAAGCTGGCTTTGAACTCAGAGATCCACTTGCCTCTGCCTCCTGGAATTAAAGGCATGTGCCACCAACACCCAGCACCAGGCAGTCTAATTAATTAATTAATTTTGAGACAGGATCTCCCTGTAACCCCAGCTGGCCTGGAACTCACTATGTAGACCAAGCTGGCCTCGACCTCACAGAGATCTGCCTGCCTCTGTCTGACTCCCAAGTGCAGGGATTAAAGCTGTGTGCCAGCATGCCTGGCCTTATTTTTGAAATATTTTATTAATTAATTAATTAATTAATTGTCTTTTTGAGACAGGGCCTCCCTGTAGCCCCAGCTGGCCTGGAACTTACTATGTAGACCAGGCTGGCCTTGAACTCACAGAGATCTGCCTGCCTCTGCCTCCCAAGTGCTGGAATTAAAGGCATGCACCACCATGCCTGGCTCTTTATTATTTTTATTTTATGTGTCTATGTTTTTGCCTGCATGTATGTAAGTGCACCACATGTGTGCAATGCCTGCAGGGGCCAGAAGAGGGTGTTGGATCCCCTGGAACTGGAGTTACAGATGGTTGTTAGCCACTGTTTGGATGCTGGGAATCAAATGTGGGTCCTCTGGGAAAACAGCACATGTTCTTAACCACTGAGCCATCTCTCCAGCTCCTACTTATTTTTATTTTATGTATATGAGTGCATTGCCTGCATGTAAGTGCACCCCTGTCATGCAATACCCGTGGAGGCCAGAAAAGAGCTTCAGATCCACCCCCCGCTCCCGGAACTGAAGTTACTGTCAGTTGTTAGCTGTCGTGTGGGTCCTGGGAACTGAACCAGGATCCTTGGTAAGAACAAGTGCTCTTAACTGCTAAGCCATCTCTCCAGGCAATTTTTTAAGTGACTCCTAAGTGTTCTAAGAATGGGTGTGCAGGTTGCACACTGCATTAAGGTACCTGGCTGAGGAATCACTTGGCACTCTGTCCCATCATCTACCCTGAACAGGAATGCATGTTACCTACAAGGGTGTCTTTTCCCAACTAGCACAAAGGTATTGGAGGGGTTGGCACAACTTTGTGGAGGAAGGCCCAATAGAACGTGTACACACAAGTGTTCTCACAAGCCAGGTACACTTGTAATCCCAGCACTCAGTAAAGGCAAGAGGAGGACCACAAGTTTGAGTCCAGGCTGGTCTACACAGTTCCAGGCCAGTCAGAGCTACAGAATAAGCAGCGGTCATAAAACAAAACCAAAATAGGACAACAGGTCTCTGACCTCTCAGTCAGGGCTACCATGTAGATAGCTGAGGGAATCCATAAAGAAGCTTCTGGAGTGGGAGGGCAACCTCCCTTCCTCCTCCCCTGTCACTGGGGTACCTGAAGCTTAATAATTGCTTTGCCTGAGGCCCTTTCTCAGATTCCCTGCCCAGTGTCTCTGCACAGGTCCTGACAGCTTTACTAGGAAACTGAGGAGGCTGAGCATCCAGCCCTAGGCCACAGTGGGAGACAGAGCCAGCATATACACTTAGGGGTAGCAGTTGTAGACAGCTAGGACACAGAGCTCAGAGCTGCAAGCCAATGCCCAAGCCCTGACAGTCAAGGTAGGTATCTCAGAAATGCAACAGTTAGGGGGTCACCTGTGTGCTCCTCACCCACCACAGTTCAGCCTAAGAGAAACAGAACAACCCCCAAAGCTGTGAGCTGGGAGGGACTCTGTGGCAGTGGTTCCCTGGACACAGACCCTAACAAGCAGGTGGTCTCCAGCAGGACCCTCAGGGAGGTCAAGTCACTATTTTTCCTAAGCAGCTTCTGTAGTGGGATGGAACCCTGGGCCTCGTGTATATTAGACAAGCCCTCTACCTCTGAGCCACATCCCCAGCCCTCTTTTTACTTTTGAGGCAGAGTCTCCCTAAGTTACACAGGCTGGCCTGGAACTCATTCTGTAAGCTAGGCAAGGCTTGAACTTGTGATCCTCCTGCCTCAGCTTCTCACATAGCTGCGAATACAGTCCTGCCATCACCAGATCTGGCTCTTCCAGGTCTGTAACACGAAGCCCCCAGGAAGGCAGGCCAAAGTGGGTACCCAGTGTGGGGGAGCACGTTCATGGGTTTCCAAGAATAGGGGATAGGGTAAACCTTGAGTCTTCCATGGGCAGTAAGGGTTTGGCCAAACTGTCTCCACTCCCCAGGGAAAGTACAGGTAGGAATCTGGCCCTTTATGACTTTCCTCCAAGGGCAGGGTCCATGGGAGTGGGATGGATCTACCTGGACCTGGCAGGTGCCACACAAACATGCAGAGGTTATTTATCTTTTCGTTCTTTCTTTTTTTTTGGTAGGGACTGGGGCAGAGGGTTGAGACAGTCTCATTATGTAGATTGGCCTTGAAGTCCTGATGCCCCTGCCTCCCCCTCCTGAGTGCTGGGAGTACAGATGTGTGGTAAGGAGGGCCTTCAGATCTTTCTCCCCAACTCTGCCTTGCTCCCCACCTTCAGGGTATTGGGGAGCCACCCAGAGAGCAAGGGCGCCTGGGACTAGGCTCTGTGGGGACAAGTCAGCATCAGAACCAGCCCCGTTGTCTTGACGATGGCTCATGTCCTAGGAACCCACGGGGGCAATTAGTAAGTGTGGGAGGGGGTTTCCATGGTGGCGGTCCCAAGGGAGCACACCAGGGCTTAGGGAGGGACAAGGGCCTTCGGGACCTTTCTCCTTTGTCCTGGACACACTAGGCCTTTGTTTTGGCCTGGCTCTTGTTGACAGATGAGACCAGGAGCATGGGTGGGAAGGCCAACTTAGGTTAGAGTCCCCCTACCCAAAGGAAGCCTGAGCCATCTGAAGGAGGCAAAGAGGGAAAGAAGAGGGGCTGGAGTACCCCCTGAGCACAGCTGTCATTGGAGAGCCCTCTTCTGGCAGAGAATCCTGACCTGTCCCCTAGAGGCTGGGACAAGCTGGCTTATAATTGGCTCCTACTGCCTGTAAACACCTTCCCCAGCAGCCAATGGGCAACCTTGCGGTGTCAGGGCAGGAAGGGTGGGTGGGGGCAGGAGGAGACATGGCAGCAAGTCCAGGGTAGAGGGCTGCCCTATCCAGACATCAGCTCAATTAGACTTTATTTGAGCCCCCACCCCGGGGCCCTTGGGGGTCCCTTAGCCCAGCCAGATGCCTCACGCCCACACTCCTTCACTGCTGGCTTTGGTGTTGACAATGGCAGGCACCAGACAGCTCCATGGCTGGCCAGCCTGTCTCCCTTCGAGCCCCACTCAGTGACCTTCCTTTATCTTAGTGCCTGACAGTCTGTAAAGTGGTGGGGAGCGTTCCACCCCCCAATGCATGGTCCTTATTGGGAACAGCTGAGTCACACAGTTCGGCAGGAAAGTGCATGGCACCCTCAGAAGCGAGTGTCCAGGAAAGAGGTGGAGCTTCGGTGGGACCTGGGGGGCCCCTCAATAGGGGACCCCCGGGCCCGTGTCAGGAGCCCATGGAAAGTCTTGCCACGTGTCTGGGGTTTGCGCCGGGGTGGCCTGGGCTCCTCAGGGGGCTGTACCACAATTCGGGGTATCTCAGGCTTGGTGCCTCCTCGAACCCCTGCCAGCTGCTGGGACTCAAAGATGGCTTGGGCCCCAGGAAGGCGGGCCTGTGGCTGAGGGGATGGCCCAGGCGATGACTCAGGCAGCTGGGCCAACTGGACCCTGATTTCTCGCTGCAGGTCCTTCTCAGACAGGGCCACACTGTGCACCTGTGGGGAACAGTTGATGCTGACTTTGCCTGGACTAGAGGGGGTGGGGGTGGGGGCAGGAAGCCTTGAGGTAACCAAGGGGCAGGCAGTACACAACCTCAGGAAGTGGCTGAGGGCTGAGAGACAGACAGCTTTGCTGGGAACCAAAGGAAGCTACTTGAGGCCTGAGGTTTTCATATTCTCTACAGCTCAGAGGGCAGGAACTAAGCTGACTCAATAGGCTGGGCCATTGAAGATGGCTGACAGGGCTACCCACCTGGGACATGAAGGCCTCTTCCTGCAGCTGGGCAGGGGGGATGGCTCGCAGGGCCCCCAGTGTCTCTAGGAGCCCTGGACAAGCCGTGCGCTGCTCTGCAGTGCCCAGAGCCAGGCGCATCAGAGTCAGGCCCACTCGAAACAGCACCTTGGCACCTGCAGGGAGGGTATTTGCTCACTCACTGGGGGCCAGCTGGCCCCTTGATTCTTCCCCTAACCTGCCCTCTGATATATTCCTTCCACCAGACCACAGCTCACCCCACCCCAGTTCAAGCTAGGAGAAATGACCAAAGAAAACTGACATGTATTTTGCTTGTTTTTTGAGACAGGGTCTCAAGTAACGCAGGCCTCAAACTCTCTATGTAGCTGAAACTGACCTTGAACTTCTGATGTTCCTGCCTCTGCCTCCTGAGTGCTGGGATTAAAGGTTTGTGCCACCACAATGATTTGGGTTTAATTATTTTTTATTTCATGTGTTTACATGTTATGCCTGCATGTATGTAAATGCACCCATGTCATACAGTGAAAACAGGGGCCAGGAGTAGGCATCAGATCTCCTGGAATTGAAGTTAGAGATGTTTGCTAGCCATCACATGGGTGCTAGACACTGAACTTGGGTCCTCTGTAAGAGCAGCCAGTACTCTTAGCCGCTGAGCCATCTCTCCAGCCTCTGATTTGTTTTTTGTTTTTTTTAATTTTTTAATTTTGCCAGGTGTGGTGGTACAAGCTTTTAAGCCCAGCACTCAGGAGTCAGAAGCAGACAGATCTTTATGAGTTTGAGACCAGCTGAGTTTATATATCAAGTTCCAGGCTAGTCAGGGCTACATAGTAAGAACTTGTCTCAAAAAACTAAAATTTTATTTTTAATTATGCATTTGTGTGTACATGAGTACAGGTGCCCTTGGAAGCCAGTTGTGAGCTACCCATTCCGGGTGCTGGAAATCGAGCTTGGAAGAGCAGTGAGCACTCTTAACTGCTGAGCCATCCCTTGTTTTATTTTATTTTATATTTATTTATTTTTGTCTTTTTGAGACAGGGTCTCCCTGTAGCCTCAGCTGTCCTGGAGCTCACTAGGTAGACCAGGCTAGCCTTGAACTCACAGAGATCTTCCCGCCTCTGCCTCCCAAGTGCTGGGATTAAAGGCATGCACCACCACGCCCGGCTCTTTTTATTTTTTTAATTTATTTTTTATTTTACGTGTATGAATGTTTTGCCTGCATATATGCAAGTATACCAGGTGTGGGTAGTGCCTGTGGAGGCCAGAAGAGGGCATCAGATCTCTTGGAATTGGAGTTGTGGACAGTTGAGAGCTGCTATATGGGAGCTGGGAACCGAACCCAGGTCCTCTGCAAGAGCAGCCAGTGCTCTTAATGGCTGAGCCATCTCTCCAGTTCCCATTTTATTTATTTTTAATTTTTATTTATTTATTTTGGTTGTTGAGCAGGGTTTCCCTGTAGCTGCAACTGGCCTGGAACTCACTATTAGATAAGGCTGGCCTTAAAATCACAGAGATCCCACCTGCCTCTGCTTTCCAAGTGCTGGGATTAAAGGCATGCGCCACCATGACCAGTCCCCTTATTTTATTTTTATTTTTTAATTTTATTGAATTTTTGTGGATTTCACAATTTTAATCATGGTTAGACCTCCCCTATCTGCACCCCTTATAACCCACCCACACCCTTGTTTTATTTTTTGAGGCAGGGTCTCACTCTAGCCCACGCTAGTCTGGAACTTACTATTAGACCAAGCTGGCCTCAAAGTTGCAATCTTCCTACCTCTGCCTCTGTACTAGAATTACAAAATTTAAAGCCAGGTGTATGAGTATTTTGCCTGCTTGTAAATGCACCCATGTCATGCACTGCCAATAGAGGCCAGAAGAGGGCGTCAGGTCCCCTGGAACTGAAGTTACAGGCCATTGTTAGCAGCGATGGGGGTGCTGGGAACCTAACCCAGGTCCTGTGCAAGAGCACCCAGTATTCTTAACTGATGAACTATCTCTCCAGCCCCCCACACCTGGCTTTTAAAAAACTAGTCAGTTGAGCCGGGCTTGTTGGAGCATGCCTTTAGTCCTGGCACTGAGGAGGCAGAGGCAGACGGATCTCTGTGAGTTCAAGGCCAGCCTGGTCTATATAGTGAGTTCCAGGTAAGTTGGGGCTACAGGGAGACCCTGTCTCAAAAAGACCAAAAAAAAAAAAATTATTTGGGGGTAGGGGGCGCATGCCACAGTGTATGTGTGGAGAAAAAAGAGGACATCTTGTGGAAGTAAATTCTCTTCTACCCAGGCAACCCAGGAGTCAAACTTAGCCTTTGAGCACCTTTACCCACTGAGTTATCCTGCCAGCCCCCACACCTGGCTTTTTGTTTTGTTTTGTATTTTTGAGACGGGGTCTCACTCTATAGCCCAGTCCAGCCTTGAACTCAGAACAATCTTTCTGTGGCCAGGCGTGGTGGCACATGCCTTCCTTTAATCCCAGCACTTGGGAAGCAGAGGCAGGCAGATCTCTGTGAGTTCAAGGCCAGCCTAGTCTACATAGTGTGTTCCAGGACATCTGGGGCTACAGGAAGACCCTGGTCTCAAAAAGACAGATCTCTGTGAGTTCAAGGCCAGCCTGGTCTACACAGTGAATTCCAGGACAGCTGGGGCTACAGGGAGACCCTGTCTCAAAAAGACCAAAAAAAAAAGGCAGAACAATCTTTCTTCCTGAGCCTCAGTGCTGGAATTACAGGTGTACAGGTGTGAATTACCATGCCTGCTAAGAAGACTGCAATGTGGGGGCACAGGACCCTTGCAGGGGCCAAGCTGGTCTCAGAATGCCAGACACTTCCAGGCAGGACAGCCAGCCAGGAGCCAGGGGCTCCTGACAGTCTCATGCCAAGCCTTCTCTGGGCCTCACCATCCTGTCTCTTCGAGGAATAGTTGGGTCAGTGCCTAGTACAGATTTTCCAGCATGAATCTGCCAGCCTCTGGTTCTAGGAAGGTTCTGGACAGAGCTTCTCTCTTCCTAAACCAAGCACATACACATGGCATGCATCCACAGACACATATAGACTACACACACACACACACACACACACACACGGTGACCTTGGCCATTCCTAGGGCCCCACAATTCCTTTCTGGCAGTTTCTGAACCTCTATGGGCAGCCAGGGAACCAGTGAGACCTGGTGACAAATGTGACTTGCAAAGGAGCAATCACCATCACTAATGTCATCACTGCCATTAAAGGAGCCTATCCAGTACTTATCCTCAGGAGGAGAGGGTAGGGATCAGCTAGGCCACCATAATCAGTCCTGCCTCTTGAGGTCAGAGGCTAGAGGGGAGGTGACACATGCGATGTGGATACCTGAGGCTGGAGCTCTAAGGTAAGTGGCAGGGTTTTCTTCTTTAACAATATTTGGAGACTGTCTCATGCAGCCCAGGTTGACCTTGAACTCACTACATAGCCAAGGATTATCTTGATCCCCCTGCCTCTGTCTCCCAAGTGCTGAGATTACAGGCATGTGCCACCATGCCCCCGGTTTTATGCAGTGCTGAGGATTGAATCCAGGGCTACTTGTACGCTGTGCAAGCACGCTATCAACTGAGTGCTGCATCACCGGGCCAGGCTTCAACCTGGTTGTGGGTGCAATCTCTGGACATCTGGGGGCAGCACACAGTAGAGTTCGAAAGACCCAGAGTCCAGCTTGGTTCCTCCCTGATGCCCCTCTCACTTTCAGCCCCCAGCATCCCCTTCTCTGCCTTTACTTCTCAATGCCTGGGTCACCTGAGTGGGCTGTGGCTTGGTCCCCATGCCTGTAGTGGCCTTCCTGGCCTCTGGCTTCCACCTGCTCCCCTTCAAGCTTACCTCCTCCACAGAGCAGCCAGAAACCTCACTAAAAACAGCAGCCACCTCCTGCCGCTCTCCTGACACTCTGTCACATCTCTTGATTTATTTTCTTCATGGCACTTATGACATTCTATAAATGTCTTCTTAATTTGGGTACTGTCGCCTTCCAGCCCCACCCCTACCAGATGAAGGTCTCACATGCTAGCTGTGAGCCAGCCTCCCTGGGGTGCCGGCCCACTCAGGAAGAGCCTGTGGGCTCCCAGGCTCCAAGAAATAGCTCCCCCTACCACTGTGGACCATGCATCATCCTTGCACGACCTCAGCCACTCAGATTCCACAATGTGTACTTCGACCATCCTAGCTCCTGCTCCACAGACCTCCCTCAGAAGTCTCCCCATCCCATCCCTGCCCCAGGCAGCACTGGGCCTCCCACAGTGGTCCTGTGACAAAGCAGAGATTCCAATTCATTATACTAGTGTCCTGCCAATGAGGTGGGCTGTTTTCTCCACAGACACACCCAAGGATATGTGACATGAGGCTCCAAAAGGGGCCAAGAATTCAACCAGCAGAGCAAATTCAGAAAACAGAGTTAACCTCCCAAGCGCCCCAACTCACCCTCACTGAGGAAGGCGTCCCAGATACGCAGCACTGTGGGGAAGGGCAGTGATCGGGTGAAGAGGCACAGGAACCACTCAGGCAGGTAGAGCAGGGGCCCGACACCCACCTGCTGCAGGTGCTTGTGCACACGTGGAAGCAGCCGCCGCAGCAGGGCCATGAACACCTCGGCATCCAGCTGCACAGCCTCCTGCAGCCAGGTGTGTCAGTCTGGCCAGCCAGCATTGCAAGCCTCCATTCCCAAACCCCAGGCCTCTGACCCCTCACTCCCCAGGCCCCGACTTCCCCTTTTCAGCCCCCAACCCAGCCTCTCACCATGTGGGGCCCATAGTAGCCTGGGAGGTAGACCTCACAGATCTGCACCAAGCACCAGAAGGCCTCCTGGGGGCAGAGCAGAGGTCTGTGAGTGGCCCATTAAGGAAGGGACCACAGAGGGATAGGGAACAGGCACAGGGACATGGACCCATACCCCTCCTACCCTGCTCAGACCCTGGCCTAAAATAGGAATGAGGGGCTGAAAGTCACAGGGCTTGAGGTGGATTTGAAGGTCACATGTTTGAAATTCATTGGGCAAAAACTGGGAAGGTTGCACTTGCCTTTAATTCCAGCAGAGGCAGGGGCAGGTGGATCTTTGTGAGACTGATTCCAGCCTGATCTACATAGTGAGTTCCAGACCAGCTGGGGCTACAGGGAGACGCTGTCTTTAAAAAAAAAAGTGGGGGGCTGGAGTAATGGCTTAGCGGTTAGGAACACCGGGTGTTCTTGCAGAAGACCAGAGTTCGATTCCCAGCACCCACATGGCAGCTGACAGCTGGCTGTAAATCCAGTTCCAGGGGACCCAACGCCCTCTTCTGACCTCGGGCATTGCACAACGCAGATGCATCTACTTACATGCAAGCATTACACTCATACACATAAAATAATAAATAAAATAGTTTTCTAAAAGTTGGGAAGGAGCCAGGCGTGGTGGCGCATGCCTGTAGTCCCAGCACTTGGGAGGCAGAGGCAGGCGGATCTCTGTGAGTTCAAGGCCAGCCTGGTCTACATAGTGAGTTCCAGGACAGCTGGGGCTACAGGGAGACCCTGTCTCAAAAAGACAAAAAAAAAAAGTTCGGAAGGTCTCAGTTTATGTCCTAAAATGCTGGCGTCATTGGGGTCCTCCCAGGACCTGGGCCATGGTGCCCTAGACCCTCAATGCCACAAACTCTAAGACATGGGGATGCTCATGGCCAACCTGGGCATGATCCCAGGGTTCAGGATCTGTAGTCAGAGGTCAAAGTACAAACTTCCAGACCCCCAGATCACTGAGGTAAAGGTCAGTCTCAAAGTTCCAGGTTCTGAAGTCAAAGACACTAGGCTTAAAGGCTTCTGAGACTGGTGAACCCAATGCTCTTGTTACTAAACTAGGGCCTGGGAGTAAAGGACCACAGGTTCCTGAGGTCAGAGTACCTGGGGTTGGGGGTCTTGGGTCCAAGAGCTCAGGATCACTGGGGGCCCGGGTCATTAGGGACCGAGGGTCATGGTCTCAGAACACAGTCAAAGTCACTCACCTCTGGGGGCAGATGCATGAGAAGCACAGCAGCCACAGGACCCTGGGCCTGGCAGTATCCCTGTTCCGGCCGATATAGGGTGTAGGCCTTGAGTACCTGCAGGAGCCCCTGCTGCCTGTGCAAGAAGACCCCATTAGGGCTAGCCTTCCAGATACCCCTTCCCTGCCCTCTATGGCCCTGCCCAGGCTACAGTCTCCCTGGGCCAAGGATATGAAGCTGAAGTAGGGAACTGGGCTAGAGCATCTAGCATGCTGTGATCATGGGTATCACTAGCCTCATACCCGTGACCCTGGGGTGACACAAACATCTCGTGCAGAGGGAACTGGCGATGCAAGTCCCTGCCAATGGTCTCCATCCACTGGGGGTCTCCAGGGGCCATTGCCAGCTCCTATGGGTGGTAGGAAAGTAGATTCGAGGGCTCAGGGAGTCAAGGAGCTCTGAGAAGGGGAGGCAGGGCCCCTGCCAACTTCCTCACCTGATAGGTACCAGGGTTGTTCTTTTGGCACACCTGGGCCCCACACAACAGGGGCCAGCACCGAGCCCGCAGGGCTGAAGGGATACCCTTACGGCACTGTATCTTTACCTGTCAGTGAGGACAAGAAGTTGTTAGGTCAGCCGCTCTTGCTCTTGGTAGCAAGTCCCAAGCACAGCCTCCCGTGGGCCAAGGGCTCACTTGAGTGGCAGGGACCAAGGTCAGAGAAAGGGTGAACTGTCCCAAGATGTGGGAGCAGGAGGGAAAGGAGAAGCTGTGGGGACCAGTGGGAGTGGCCCTCTCTTTCCTTACCTTCTTGTACCGTCGGGACATGGTCTTCTCCCAGTGAGAGGTCATCTCTACCCACTTCATCTCTCGCTGGCGGATGAGGTCTGCAGGGGGGTGACCTGGCCTAGGGGCATATGGCACGGCATTCCCTGGAAGCCTCTTCTTAAAACCTACCCTTTCCCACTCCAGGCTACCAGAGAGAACCCAGGCCCTGGCCCTGAGGATCTCTGAGGAGCCCTGAAGCCTGGAAGCTGCCAAGGGTTGTCACAGTTAAAGGAGGGGATGTGGCTCCAACACAGGCAGAGAGACTGAAGGTGTGTATTGAGGGAGGGGCTGGTTGCCCATCACCCAGGATGGGGACCCAGACAATCCATAAGGGAAGCTGGTTGGCCAATGCCCTGGGCCTGGAAGGCAGGAGTCCTGAGTTTGAATCTGCTTCTCTTTCTGAACTGCTGTGTGACCTGGAGCAAGTTTCTGTCTAGACTTCTTTACCTGTCTATACCTGGAAAAAGAGAATGAAAAGGTGTGGATTCTATGATTTGGACCTGGGATTCCTGGGCCAGAGCTGAAAAGGACAAAGAGCTGCAGCTCTAAGGGTAGATACAGACCCTGGGGTAAAAGAAAGAGACCAAGAGACGGTCCTGGTCCCTCTGCTACCCTTCCTACCTTAGCACTCTGAGGAAAGCCACTGGCTGAGTTCTAGGCCAGTCCCTACAGCCAGACCCATTGCAGATCCTTGAAGCTGGAGGCCTCACTCCCAAACTCACCCTTAGTCTGTGCATCCTGCTATCTCCTCCTCCCCATCCTCACCTCACTTACCCCAGTTCTGCTGAGCTGCCCCCAATGAAGCCATAGCGGTCAGCCTGGCGATATGGGCCAGGCCCACTGAGCTCTGAGTCGGACCCCAGGGAGCTGGAGTCATCCTGTAGCTCTGATGGTGGTACCAGGTCCTCCCCCAGGGCCTGGGCCATGGCACGCTACACCCCAGTGCAACAGGCTGCAAGACAGGAAGAGAGCCTGTGTGAGGGGTCTGGGAGTTGCCAGGCTGTGGCCAGGGCTCTCAGCCCGCAGTCCCCAGCCTCAGGCTTGGCCATGAGGTCAAGGGTTGGGTCTCAGGGCATCTAACCTCCCGCTTTGATCAGGGAGTGGGCTAGGCCCTGATGTGCCACAAAGGCCAGGCCCCTGTACCCCACCCAGCCCCAAGCCCCACCAGCCCAGCTCACCTCCTTGCTGCACCTTCTCTTCTCTCACTTCCTCCTCAGTCTGAGCGTCAGCAGCCTGCCCAGGGCCCCTCCCAAGTGTATGTGGGGTTCCCCCTTCCTCTATGAGGTTCTTCCTGCTTGCCCTAGTGCTCCTGAGCCACGAACACCTCCCATCCTCTGTGCACTAGGTGTGATGGGTCCCCAGTTTAGCAGAGATGAAGATGGTGGGTCACCTCCAGTTCTGAGGTTAAAACATGGCTCCAGTAAGAATTATGCTTCATTTAATGTATTTTAATTTTTTTTTTTGCCTATTTTTGTTTGTTTGGAGACAGGGTCTCATGTAGCCCAGACTGGCAATGTAGCTGAGGATGACCTTGAACTACTGACCTTTCTGCCTCCAACTCCTGTGTAGGCCCTGGCATTATAGGCTTGTTGCTACCATTCCTAGCTTACTTTATCGTACTTTCTTACAAAAATAATACTCTTTTTTTTTCTTCCAATGCTGGGAATAGAACCCAGGGCCTTGCACATGCTAGGCAAGTACTCTTCCACCAAGCACTCCACAAAGTACTTAGAACATGCACCCTATGCAATATTATCACATCACTCAGAATCTATGGTACTTACTAAAATCAAAACAAAAAAACACTGACTTAGCAGGTGCCAAGGCAACGTGGACCAAAATGTGCTCAGAGTTCTACAGCAGGTGTCGTTGGTCTGGTCACTTGCCTGGTGGCACAAAGACCCAGGTGACTGTGAGGCCTGGGGCGTGGAGCAGCCCCCTCAGAATCGCCCAGCCTCAGTTCCCTTTATGCACTTTGAGGACTTACCCTGCAGTGCTTGAGACAGTTACTAATGTGCTCACACCTAGGGCTAGGGTGAGAAGAGCCTTTGAAAGAGAAAAACAATTTCCACAGTACTTCCGGGCCTCACAACGCGAGTGGGGTGGCTCCACAGCGGGGCCATCCCCGCCCTGACAAACCCCGCCCACCAACAGGTCCCGCCCCCACGCCCAGACTCCGCCCCCAGGCCGCTGCGCTTCACGTCCAGCGGGGGCGCTAGAGACCTGGGCGCCACGGGCGGGGCGCGGCGGGGCGGGG